TGGGGCACAAGTTCCCTTGGATGCTCAGCAATGGGCTACAGTAAGTGAAGTGAGGGAACAAACATGGAGAACCCTCTCAGGGAATCTGCTTTATACTGTGGAAGTAACTAGCAGCATTTAATAAGTGATTAAATAAAAACCAACATTTGGCATGGCAGAATGAAAAACAGCACTGATTGTTTTTAAAAAACCATAGGACTTTAAAAAGCAGCATGCGATAGGCTATTTTGGCATGTGGCTCTCGTGAGTGTAGAATTATGTTCTGGTGCTAGGGGATCTTTTAGAAAGTCTGAAAAGCGTTCATAAGGAGGTAACTACCACACTAGCCTAGAGGTGGGAAATGTAGTGTTGAGGGAGCTCTGAGCACCACTGGTACAGTTTTTGGATGGGATGGGTAGGTGGGTGATGTCCGAGGGAGCTCCTGAGAAAGAAGTGGCTTACCAGGCAGTGCGGACAGCTGGCATGGAGGAAGGGGTGGTGTAATTACAATGAGTCAGGAATGTGCCTGTGTGTGTGGAAGGCAGAGGGTCCAGCTGCAGCTGAAGTGGGAGGTGGGTCTGGGCTGTGCAGCCGAGGGCCCAGGTGTTAACTAGACAGTCAGTGCAGGAGACCACACTCTACCATGGAACTCTCTTTCTTCTGGCCCCTGGTCATGCTGAGTTCTCCTACTTCTTAGGTATTTTTCCTTTTAACACCTCCCCACCCCTTTGAATTTTAGTGTTCCTGATTTCCTTCTTGCCTGTGTTCCTCTTTTTATTTTCCTCACGTGGCCTGTTTATTTCACTCCCACTGCTTCAGTTTCCCCTGCAGAGCTGGCTCCTACTCTCTGTGTCCACTGCCGTTTCCTGCTGCTTGGACATGTCGGCCTGAACTGATGCACGCTCTCCCAAATATGCAGCTCCTTGCCTGTCTGTACCTTTCCATGCCCGTTCCCCCTTCCCAGCTCTGCCTTCCCCATCATTACCGTCTAGGCTAATGGGAGCCTGATCTACCCAGTCACTGCTTACTCTGCTCCTCATCTACAACCAGTTATTTGCCAGCCCTGCCAGGGAAGCTCCTCAGCCTCTGCCTGCTAAAGATGTCCTTTCCTTTCCACTGGGATTCCTAACTGGGCCGGGAGTTCCCCTGGCCCCTGTCTGAGGCCAAAGACTGCTGCATGTGATGAGGGAGATGACGGCTGGGCAGCTGCCTGCATAGCATGATAGATCCCTCTGGCCGGGCGATGCCTTGTTAACTGGTCTCACTGATAACCAATTCCTTTCTCTTTACATCTTCAGAATTCTACAGTTGTCTTTTAAATATAGAACTCTGACTAAAGCCAACAAATGACTGAAATTTACAGCACAAAAAAATTACTGAAATTTACAGTTACTGAAGAGTGAGAAGGGAGTATAGTGAACACTTAGCCAACCTTTGGGTAAGGTAGACTTTTTAAAGTTTTCATGCCAAGACAAACACAGATCTGACCACATGAAAATGTAAAACTTGTATAGGAAAAATACTACTTGAAAAGAGAAAGTGTGAAAATATCTAAAACATATCTGAGGGTTAATGGTCCTAAATGCCCTTTCTAGATACAGTGGTGTACGCCTGAAATTTCAGCACTCTGGGAGGTTGAGACAGGAGGATCACAAATTGGAGCTCAGGAGGGGCAACTCAGTGACTTAATAAGATCCCTTGTAAAAATAAAAATAAAGATTAAAATGGGCTGGGTAGCACACTGCACCGGGAAGGCTCTGAGTTCCATTCCTAGTAATACACACGAACACATGAAAAGACTATGTTCTTAAAACTTCATCAGAGGCTGGGGATTTAGCTCAGTGGCGTAAGCGCTTGCCTGGCAAGTGCAAGGTCATGAGTTCGATTCCCAGCACTTAAAAAAAAAAAAAAAGTAAAAAAAACCTTCGTAATAAAAAATTAGTAATCAAACGATCACACACACCAAAAGAAGCAAAGGGTATGAATAATTCATGAAGCACAAATGACAAGTATACTCACGGAGGAAAACATTCAATTTCACTTAAGAAGTGTAGACTAAAACAATGGATATGGAAAGGTTTTTTTCTCCCCAGTCAAATAGACAAGTTTAGTACCCAGTGAAAATGTGTTATGTGAGACATGCTCATACTTGGCATAAAATGGTACTTGTCTGGAAATACGTATCAAAAGCCTAAAAAATATGTATCATTTGACCCCACAATTCTGTTTTAGAGATTTTCAGGAAATAATTATGAACAAGCATATTCATATATGAAGATAATTCTAACAACACTGCTTAAAATGTTGACATTTGGGAACACTGCTCAAGAATAAGGGTGAAATGTTTTTTAGCTCATCTTCAGCAGGAAATATCACACACGGATTAAAAAAATTGAGATGGAAAACAGTGTATGACACATGAAGATATCTCCAGGATGTCTACTTTTTCTTTTCTTCTAGACAGGCTCTCACTATGTATTCCAGACTGGCCTTGAGTTCACTATGCAGCCCAGGCTGCCCTCAAACTCTCAGCAATTCTCCTGCCTCTGTCTCCTGCGTGCTGAGATTATAAATGTGTGCCACCAGGCCCAACCTCTCCAAGTTATTAAGGGAAATGTCAATTATAAAACAACACACAGAAAAATTTCATTTTTAGAAAACTATGCATCTATATGCATAGAAGCTATAAAATGTTAATGATGGTTTGAATATGTGCTTAAGAATTTTTTCAACATACTTATGTATATTTTCCCAAATCTCCATAAATAGAAGTTTTTTGTTGCCAGAAAAAAATATTTTAAACTGCAAGCATAACATTTCCTCTCTGTTTTGGCTGCCTGGTGTTTACTACTAGGTAAAACCTAATCCCTTTGCCTGGTAAACCAGGCCTGTCACAATCTGACTCCTCCTTGGTTTCCCAGCCTGCTCTTCCTGCTCCTCCTGACTCGAATCTCATACTCAAGGCTGGCACAGCCATCTGCAGGTCTACTTCCTACATCTCCCTCCCGGCACTCTGAGCTGGTTAATTCCTGGATCACCTACTGGTTTTAGCTCCTATGCCTGGTCTTTCCAGTCCTCCGCTCCCTGAATTCTTCTCTGCATCAGGGCCTCTGCACCAACCACCCTTTCTGGGCTGGTCTTCACAGGGTCAGCTGCTTTTCATTTTTCAACCCTTAGCATAAATGTTACCTCATCTACCCTTCTTTGACCATTTTATTAAAAGAGGTCACTTTTTCTTTTTTCTCCCTCCCTAGTTTGTGTTACTAGGGATGAACCCAAGGCCTCACACATGCTAGGTGAACACACTACCTGTGTCCCCAGTCCTCTGTATTATTATGAGACAGGGTCTTGCTAAGTTTCCTGGCTTGGCCTCAAACTTACAATTTTCCTGCTTCAGTCTCCCCAGTAACTCAGACTGCAGGTAGGTATCACTGCACTTGGTTTTTGAGATCACATTTTAATTTTCTGTCTCAGAACCCTGTTCAGTCCTCCTTAGCACTTACTGGAATACAGGAGTATTTTTATCCTATGTTGCTTTCTTGATTTTTGGGTTTGCCCCCTGGGACAGTAACACTGAGAGCAGAGGCTGTGAGCTGTGTAACCTGGGGCCTTGAACATTGTAGATGCATGCACTTATTTCAGGAATGGAAAAACTATAAGACCCTCTGCAAACTCTTTGCCTGTGTTCCTACGGGACTCTGGTCTTATTTCAACCACCCTGTATTACCTGTGTCTTTTCCTTTTCCTGTGGCTGTCTTTTTTTGCCTGCCCCTACCACGGACCGCAGGTGCTCAGAGCTGGGACAGTATCGTGGTCAATGCCTGGTGTTGGTGCTCAACACACAGGTGCTCTGAACCAGTGGCTGGGTGGGCTCCTGAGATACTGTGCGTGGCAGGAGCGGGGATTCTGGGGCCGAGCAGTTGCTGGTCATATGGATGAGGAGATTTGGTCTGCGACTTGCATAAGGCTGTCATAAACTATGTAGACACAGGGCTTTATTGTTTTAGCAACTGTTTAGTTAGTAATTAAGTCTTGAACCTTAAATTTGAAAAAAAAAACTTGTCATTAACAAATCTAACATGAAGACCACCAAATTAAAGGAAGAAAAAATGGGAATATTATAGATATTTTGCAGTTGTCTCTGAAGAACTGTGCTGAACTCCTTCACATAGGGAATTTACAGGCTTCTTGTGGAACCTGTTTCTTGAAGACATCTATCCCTTTTGCAGCATAGCGTGGTGCTCCCAGAGTCTTCAGATGGTTTACACACACATAATGCAGGGAAATCACCTCAAGGAAGGCTGCTGGAAACTATGAGGTGTACAGCTTGTGATGAGGGACTTGTGGGGCATAAAGTCCTATCTGAGCTTTCAGGACCACCGTTATTACTCAGTGGGAGAGGGAGCTTTCTACCTGGGCAGTCATAGCTTTTCTTTTTGTGCAGCAGCCTGTCTTGCTCTGTTGGTCCTGGGCAACATTTCAGCTTCGCAGGCTACACCCATGTCCAACCACTCGCCTGGCCGCTGTGGCAGGGACATTCACAAATGGGCAGGGCTGTGTTCCCTTAACATTTCATTTATGGATACTAGATTTGAGCTTTGTATAATTTTAAGGTATGTTAAAGTCTTATCTTTTGATTTTTTTCCTTCCAGACATTTAAAAATGCAAAATCATGCCAGTGGGAAGTTAGATTTGGCTTAGGGGCCAATTTGTGGTCTGGCTTAGGACAGCTGTGGTATATGGACTGTTTGAAAGGATAGTACAAATAAACAGCCCAGTGGCAGGGCCCTGCCTGACCTCTGCCGTGAGTTTCAAACCTGCAGGCCTGGGGCCTCAGGAACAACTGGCCCCTGAGCATGGCGGACAAGCGAGGAGCGGCAGGATGGTTAGTGTGCAACTTCAGACAGACAGAGCACTGGGAAATGACCTGTCCTAGGAGTGAGAGCATGATTGAGGGCTGGTTAAAGTGTTTCATTTCACACTTATGGAAACACATTATAGTCATGCTTTTTTTTTTTCAAACAGGATGAAGAGAAAATGAGCAAGGAGCTGCTAAGACCACAGGCCCACACCAGTGCTTCAGGAACAGCACACAAATCACTTTCCAGGTAGGGCTCACTGTCAAACAGCAGCACTGCTGACAACAAGACAGCTGGGGTGTGTTTTCTTTTCAAAGGAAAGAGGCTCCCCATGGTTCTCAAAAGTTTCGTTACAGAACGAATTTCCAGGGAGATGAAGAGGAAACAAAGGTCATTTTCAAGGTCCGTCTCTACTGTCTCTCTCATTTTCTATTTAAAAATGTGCTCCGGTTTAAATATTTTTACTCCTCCTTTGAGTAACACCAGCATCTTGCATCTGAGAGACAGCAGCCTAGGGCACAGGACACTGGGACTGCACGTGGTACAGCCAGCCTTCCTGGGTTCTGTGTTCTTGTCTGGTACCGATTAGCTGTGACCTTGGGCAACAAGGTCAAGTTTCTTCAGTCAGAAAATGCGGATAAGATCCACCTTTTAAGGTTTACATGGCTACAGAGCCTAGCATGGGCTACCGGCCAGGGAGGTACTGGCTATTTTTATTATTATATGCATGTTTATCAACTACAGGTACCTCAGGATGTGTGTTTAAATTTCCTCCTCAGGTGGTCTGGTATCATCTCCTTTTCAAGGAGAGCAAACTGAGGCTTAATTTAATGGTTGAAGGCCATTTATCTACAAATCTTATTACTATAAATTAGATTCTTTTGCAACGGCTTCTAAATTACTGAACAGGAGCTGAATTTCTTGCCTTCTGTTTATTGGAAAAAGTTTCTTTTCTTTTTGGTACTAAGAATTGAACTCATGACCGTGCACTTGCCAGGCAGGCACTTATGCATGCCACTGAGCTAAATCCCCTGCCCTCCTGGATAAAGCTTCGTAAAGGAAGAAAAGCTTGTATTAAAAAAAGTCAATCGCTGAATGTGGCAGGATATACTTGTAATCTCAGCACTGTGGGAGACTGAGGCAGGAGGATTCCAAATTTGAGTCCAGTCAGGCAATTTATTGACTTAGTGAGATCCTGTCTCAAAATAAAGTAAAACATTTAAAAAGGGTTGGGGATGCAGTTCAGTGAGAAGGCCTTGAGTTCAAATCTCCACTAACACAAAAAAGTTAAAGAAAATCATATGCCATAATAATCAGTACACAACAGGGATTGAACCTAGGGTTTTGCATAGGCTAAGTATGTACCCTAATGAACCATACCCAGGGACCACCGAATTTTCAATGCAACATTTGAAGTTTGGTATTTATCAGTGTTAGGCTGTTGTAAGGCAGTGACAGAGTAGTCATCCTATAGTATTCCTCCTTCAACTGCAAAAAGTGTTAGTGACAAATGAGTATGCCTAATATTAAAATATGAAACTTTGGGGGGAAAAGCCGAGCTCCTTTTTTTGCATAAATATGATAACTGACTCATTAGTTAAAGTAGGTCATCAGAAATAGTTTCAAGAATTTCTATGTACCACAGAGACAAAGCTAAATGAGACAGTAGTAGTCCATGAAAAATAGCTACAAAAAAATACATGAGCCAGGCGTGGTAGCACATGCCTGTAATTCCCGCACCTGGGAGGCTGAGACAGGAAGATTACTGTGAGCCTGAGGCCAGTTTGCGCTACGTAGTGACTTCAATTCCAGTCTGTATTACACAGCTAGACTCTATTTTTAAAAAAATTTAAAAAAATAAGAGAAATGCATGTTATGAATGTTTAATTAAAAAAGTTTTAATATATACAGCTAACCATCCATGATTTAAAACTTTTATACCTCATATTAAAAATTCTGACTCAATATTAGCTAGTGTAGGGCCAGGATTTAGCTCAGTGGTACAGTGCCTACCTGGTAAGTGCAAGGTCCTGAGTTAAATTCCCACCATCTTCCCCGCCAAAAAAAGATCAACTGGTGCATCCCTCAGAAAAAGCCACATTTTAAAAGATGCTTATAGATTGTAAAGATGTCAACATGTATAATTTTTTTTTGTTTCTGTGACAGGGCCTTGCTAAGCAGTTTAGGCTGGCCTTGAGTACATTTGGTAGCCCAGACTGGTCTCGAACTTGCTATAATCCTCCCGCCTCTGCCTCCTGAGTGCTGGGATTACAGCCATGTGCCACAACATCTGTACAATATGTATATCTTCTGATATTAGCTCGGCCTATTTAAATTGTTTTTTCTTTCATTTTTTCAAGTTTTCTTTCTCTAATTCTAGAATTCACAAATGTTCACTGTAGAAAATTTAAAGTATACAATATAAATAAGAAAAAATTATATTAAGTATATTACTTTACTCTCTAGAGAAATATTCTGGCACAGTAACAATATTTTACATATCTGTGTAATTAACTTTTTCCAAATAATGTTAAAATTATTTTTCTTTCAATTTTCCCTTATCAAACAATACATGCTTACTGAAATAAAACCAGAAAGCACAGAAAATGTCAAAGAAGTAAAAATAAAGCAAAACCCTAGCATTATTTTGACATTTTTCTTCTAGTCATTCTTTTAATACATATTTTCAAGATTTTCAAGATTATTGTTTATTTAACTCATGAATATCTTCCTTCCTCGACCTCCTGAGAGCCAGGATCACAGTCATGCACCAGCAGGCCCCACCAGAAGCCAGTTTCTGCCTCTGACCTGTCCCTGGGTGATTAGGAGACGGTGCAGAATCCCTGCTGCTATAGGGCTGGAGCTCATGAGGAGACCATAAGCACAGTGTGGGTCTTTACTCCTCTCCATTTCTTTCCCCTCAAGAGTCAGTCGGGATGAACTGAGCAGGGAGAGGTCTAGCGGCTGGCAGAGCCTTCTTACTCTCCCTCTGGGGTTTGCAATTACTCATGAGAGTCTGGACGTGAAGCTGACATCAGCTTCCTTGACAGTATCACCTGGGAAGATCTGGGTCAGCACACGGCACCTTTCTCTCCCTTCCAGCTGACGCCCTGTACTTAGCAGTCCTGTGCAATGGCCCTCTCTCCGGGTGGTACTGCAGGGAAGTGGGCAGTGAGGGCTGCTTGGCCTCCACCACTCCCTGTGCCAGGTGCTGTGGGTGACTCAGACACAGATGGCAAGTTCTAGGCTCAACACAAATGTGGAGCGCGTTCAGGGGGCGACAGGCTACATAGATAATCATAAAATATGAAGGAGACTCACAGTGACCATGTGGGGTAACGAACAGCCACTGCAGAGTAAGCGGCCCTTACTTGGGGGTAGGAGAACACAGGGTGAGCAGGTAGACCTCACCAGGGAGGAAGCTCAGACTTCAAGGTATCACGGAGTGGGGTGTGGTAAGTCTGGAAACTCAACCAAGCCTAAGCACAGCTTGGAAAGCTATATGGATTCATTTAATTGGAACCAAAATTTGGTGATCTCACAGAAGCAGCACAGCAGTGGCTATAAATGCTGTCATAATCACAATAAGCATTTCTAATAAATTCATTAGTTATCTATTTGGAGGTTCAAATACAAACTTCTAAAAAATGCTTTTAAAAAGCAATTTTTAATAGCCTCACCCTACAAAGAAATAAAGAAAAAAAATCCTTACTCTCTGAGTCTTTAGCCTCTTACATTTCTTAAATTTCTTTTTAATCAGGTTAGATAAGCACCTGTACCAAGCACATATGAACACACATTTGTTTGATCTCAACTACCCTTGTAAGAAATGTGGGTCTCCACCTTCAAAGCAGGGACAGCAGAGTTGGGCTGATAGTGCTGTCAGATTCCAAAACCTGCACTCAGTCCACCTGTCCAGAGACCGGAGGAGATGTAAAAGCTGCCGATGACGGGGTGCTGGCTGCTGGGGGCTTACTAGGGTAAAACCATGAAGGAAACAGTAGCTTCTGGTTGAGAGTAAAGGGCTACTGGGAAGAGGCAAAAAGTGGGGGTGGTAGCAGAAGTTCACATTTTGAGAAGAAAACCCAGAAAGAAGAGTTGAATTAGGGTGTTTGTCTAACTATTCTGAGCCAAGAATCTTGTTTATCTTGCTCATGGCTGTATTGCTGGGGCAGAGAACATTGCTTAGCAGTGATATGTGCTCAAAAAAATATATGCTGAATGATGAATAAATGCACCAGGACAGAACCTATCTTTAATAACCATGATGGGATAAACCACTGTTAGCTGAGCATTGCCTTTGTGCTACACTGGGGCCAGGTGCTCGGCCACACTAACGAAACCCAGGAAAACATGTAAAGCAGCACTCTTACCCTCACTTTACTGGCAAGGAAGTAAGGTACACCAAGGCTCAGGAAAGCGCCCAAGGGCTTCATCCTCAGTCGAAGAGATGGGATCACAGGCAGGCCAGTCTCACTGTAAGGCCTATCTCTGCTGTGACAAGCCGCTTTTCAAGCAAAGACTTGTCAGGACCTTGGGCCCCACTCTGACTAGCCCCTTCAGGATGACTTGGCCACTGAAGAGTCTCATTCTGTCACTGTTCTTAGTCACTGAGCCCAAGCATCCTGTAAGGAATGAGTGATGGCAAGACACCTACAGGGTGTATCTGACCAGGTGTGCCTTGTGTAACTGCGGCTGCAGCTGGTTCCAGCTCCATGTCCCATTAACTCAGCTCTGGGCCTCAGAGGCTACACCCCAACCCAAGTCATCCGCCTCAGAGATGCATTCATTAGTTTCAGCAACAGCAGCTGAGAAGAGTAGGTGGCTTGGTAAAACCTGTTTGCAAGCTGAGCAAAACAATTCCAAAGGTGTGTCACAGTGATGGCTGGCAGCAGCTTCCTAGAAAATCAGGCAAACTCCCAACCCAAACCCAAATGATCAGAGTCCTCTGCATTAAAACCTTTCTTCCAAGAAAGTCCTATCTTCTAGTTTTTCTTAGAATCCTCTTTATATCCTTGTGATATTAAAAATAAAGTGGGTTAATAGACAGGTAGCAGTAACTGACAGTTACTAGAAAGTTAAAAGGCTAAGAGATATTTAGAACATCTATGCAAATTGATGCAGTTCAGAAAATAAACAGATATTCTTATCAGCAGTTAAGCAAGTCTGTGTTTAACATATGGTTAGTTTTGAAGGTAAGGGGTATCTACTTCTCTCTGCAGAGAGCTTCTCTTTGTTTCCAAACTTGT